AAGCTTAATTCTGTCCTTAAAACTGTTCTAAGTTCATAAAATAGAGATTGTGTTATAAAATGTGAAAAACTTTAAGAGTTCAATAATGTCGACACATACGAAAAACATTTAAGGCAATTAAACTAGTTTCAAAAAGAAATTTTTCAATAAAAAGAGTAAAACTTTGACATTTTTATAAGTCGAATATTTCGATTATAAAGAGTTGAGTGAAAGATATAACAAAAATAGGTATTGGTCTTTAAATTAAATTTACAAAAATTAAATTCCAATTAATGTCAAAAACTAGAAAAACTATTCAATATTCTTATAATATTTGACTCGTTCGAAACGGTAAAGTAAAATTTCAATGAATACTATAAAATTCATAAGAATTATTAAACCCTTTTTTTTCTTTTGCAAAAAGAACTGAAAGGTTGTCGATAAAAAATCAATAAGAAGACATGATAAGAATATCATATATTAAATAATCAGCATTTTAATACTATTTATATTATTATTGGACCATTAGCGATATTGTATATAACTATAATCTACTTGTTATATAATGAAAACTAATAAAGAAATAGAATCGTTACAATTAAATCGTAATATGGTTTAGGGAGTTAAAAAATCGTATACGTATCTCAGTGCATTGAATGTTATCACGAATATCATGCGTACCTAATATTGTTATTACTCTCGTTCCGCTTGTCTACAAGAGAACGTTATAGTGCGCCCGACCTCTACGCGCGTTTTGTGATGTGCTAAATAAAGTTGCAAAAATCGTTTTACTCTACCTGCCCTATCGAATCGGAATCAATAATGAATACACATTATGAATACACACGGTTATATGTAGTCATTTCTCCCTCCTTAAACTATCTATTTATCATTCTATGCGATTGCCCGGCGAGAGATATAAACCAAATACAATCAACGTATATAATTTACGTATGCAGAGAATATAAGTTTAGTATAGAAAAAAAAGAAAGAAAAGACAGACATGTTTATCTAATGTAAATATAAAAGTAAATTAATTATAATAAAATAAAGATTTTGATTGTAAATATATTTATTATAAGTATATATAATTATTTTAATTAAAAAGTTTATCATAGTATATTAAATATGTTGTATGAATAATTGAGTATGCTGTATGAATATTTTATCATGATTATATTTAATACTTTAATGAAATAAAATAAATAAGGAGAAGAGAGGATTTCTTACTATAGAATATACATACATATATGTATAAAGCTTGTATCTCTCAAACATTGTTTATACAGAAAAAAATATGTACAAAATAATCGGTAAATTATTGCATTATATTGATTTGTCATACCGTTCTGCGTTAACTACAAATTAATTCATTAAGTACAATTTAAAAAGAACATAAATTCTTACTTAAAAATATAAATCTATGTTAAAAAATATAAATATAAATATTATATTTATCAAATCTTTCTCTCTCTCTCTCTCTCTCTCTCTCTTTCTCTCTCTCTTTCTCTTTCTATTTTATCTAATTACAGATTATATTGATATATCGCATGATTATTCTTATTGCGATATCATTAAATATAATTGTAGTAATAAAATAAAAATATATATATTAATGATAACTATTAATAAGATAGCTATTATATCGGTTTTTTAGATACTAACCCTGCGTTGTCTCTCTGAAGCAATGACCACTTCAAAGAATCATTTCGCATTATCAAAAACAGAAAAAAATGTATAAAAGTGTTGAATGAAAACTTAGATTAATTTGACAATACAAATGTACAATTGAATAAAATACAAACGTACGAATGTTCACGAGCGTTCGCATAAAATTATGTATGTCTATCATCAGATAAACAGCAAAAGTAATCCCCATTTCTCTCTAAGATTATTTAATTATCGAACTGTGAAACCTGTTCTCAGATCTTTATCCCATTTCGCGTTCGTTTCAATGTATGTATGTTGCAACAAACACGAATTAATATCGTATGATGCATGGAATGGAACATCTGCTACACCGCGGTCCGCGACATATCGCACGCTATAACAATAACGGAGGTGCCGCGACGTGCAACGCGTATCTCCGCATCTGTATTCTCTGAAATTTTAATTACGGCGTTCGCGCTTACCAAACAATTATCATCAGCCGCGCTACGTGCGACGTCCTCACCTCCGGGGCTCCGTCGTTCCAACTTCGTTTCGCGGCCCATACGTGCCCCCTAAGGTGGTGGCCCCGCGCGCGCGCGCACGTGGAGATAGTGCCCGAGCCTCGTTCGAGAGAGAGTCTCATGTAATTTTCATCGAGTGGGTGGATACCCATTATTTCGCATTACAGGGTCCTTACGAGGGGTACGATCGCGCCGATCGTGCGGATCGAGCGGAACGATCGCGCATTAACGACGCGAGAACTCGCGCGAGATTTCTCGGGCCTATATACGTACGTATTTTGCGCAAATCGCGTCGCATGACAATCGACAGGATCGCTCGATTTCTCGAGAGCTTTTCTCTTCACGTAGGAAATATATATCTATTTAGACGTGACTCGGTAGATGCCTTTGATATTTAAAATTAAATAAATCGATTTAATAATTAATTATAAATTGATTAAATAATAGTAAAATAATTAAATTTAATTGACGCATTTATAAAGGAACGAAGAATTCATCAGTAGAGACAAATAAAATTAATTCAACTCTCTTTTTCTTCTAAAATCAACTTCACATTTAAACAGATCTTGGAATCATTAAATAGTTGAAGCAAAGTGAAGGTTAATTTACATCGTCGAGTATAGTTAAATCGACAAAATTTAGATGGTCTTGACGTCATTTTATTAGATTCGTCTGTCGGATCACGAAGGGAAAGAAACTTGCGATTACGGCGAATAGAGTCGCACGGTTTTACAAGGGTCCTGCCGCAACAACACCGGCGCGGCGCGCCCGGTCTTTTTGTTTTTTAATGCCGGATCATTAGCGGCATCGCATTAGCGGACGGTTCTCGAGCGTGAGTTAACGATAACAGATTGTACAGCGGGGCGCGATGTTTGCAAGCATTATTGGCGCCACTTGTACATCGTTACCGGTGTACGTGACGTATCGGCGGGGTATCAGAGAGCTCCGCACCATCCACCATATCATTATGACGCCTCGCAGGCAGAACTATCGATCCCGATCGATGATATTAATAGTCGCTAACTACAGTCCTCCGAGCCGCCTGCTTGTGCGAGTTCTACAGCAAGTTTCAGTATAAGGCGCTTTTCAAACCGTCGATCGACCGTCCTTTTTTTCTTTCCCTTCTCTTATATCCATCATTCGTCGCGCTAATTGTTTATAATTGTTCCGTCAAGGTTAAAACATACGCGTGCGAAATTGTTGAACGATGATAAAGTTCGATAACGATACTCTGTAACATTGACAATGTTTATTATATTGTTCGATCAGTAATTGTTAAACAACGCGCTTGCAGTTGTTTGTTTCAAGGTCGGGATAATGCCCTGTCTGGACCAGAGGATGATCCTACTTGTGGCTTATCCTAGTAAATAGTTTACACTACTCATTAGGAGTACATTTTGTCTCACGCACGATGTGCATAATGCATCATTTATCCTTGTTGTTCACCAAATGTTAAACATGGATAAATGATGCATCATGCGCGAAACGGAATGCATTCTAAGATGAGCCACAAGTAGGCTCATCATCTGGTCTAGACAGGGCATAAGATCGAATTTGCGAGAGTAACAGAACTTCCGAATGTCGCAACTCGCAACGCTTTCGATAATTTTCAAATGAATGTCGAGCCGACGTCTAGCAAAATATGTTGTACTTCCCAGCCGGAACGCCGACGTCTATAGACGTCGAATTGACATCTTATAGATGTCGATTCGACATCTATCGACATCTATAGACGTCGAAAAAACGCTAGCATTCCGGCTGGGTTGCATTTGTTTAAAAACTACTTACGCCTGATGCTGTCGCCGAATGGAATCCTGACCCAGCTGCATGCGAATTTCCTGCGATCTTCAGCTCCGAATTGCCGTAAGACACCTATAATAGTAATGACATTTAACATTATTGTTATAGATGCAAATATTAATTAGGTCTGTTCGTGTTGCCTGCATTTCTCGCACTTACAATCTTCGCTTTTCTTTTTTTCTACGTATATTTATCTCGTTTTAAGTGCAGGGATTTCAAGCAACACGAACAAATCTATTGAATCTCCTTCGATCGATATAGCGCGACTACTCGCTGCTCGCCATTTTGTTCTTTACATTCTTTCCAACTATTTGAGTCAATATATAGAGATTTGATCGGGTAATCGCATCATTGATAAACAGACAACGATAATAATTACCGTATTCGATCCATCACCATTAAATCGTTTCATCGCGGAACGACGAAGCTCGATCTGCTCGATGGAACGGGCTTACGAAAATTCATTCGCCCGATATCAATCGAAATAGACCGACGTGAGTCCCAACTAGCCAACGGCGGCGATCTGAAGTCGCGCGCGAATCGCCTCATCGCCGCGCGAAAGCGCGCGCGAGACACGCTCTAGGGAATTCGCACTATTCGCAGACAGGCAGGTAACTTCACGGCGCTCCCGGTTTCCGGCGAGGCCGTCCGCGCACGCGCGCGCGCGCGCCATGTTGGAACGACGGACGAAAGTTCTCGTGGCGACCGCGGCGAGGCCGAGGGCGTGAGGTGTCGATCGGGCGCCGTCAGCGCCGTGCAGCGTGCAGCCCCCCGGGAAGATAATAAACAAAAGGAACGGATGGCTGAGATGGCTCGTCTCCCTTGAGTCGGCTTTCCTCATCCTGGGAATGTTTCGCGTCGGCTTCGCGGCTGTTTGAGACTGTTCTCCCGCGAGTGTGACTTCGCCATCGGGGTGAGTTTCCACGGCAAGAAACGCGAGACGTGAGACCCGCTTGGACCTTCCTCTTTCCCTCCCTCCCCCGCGACGTCGCGACTCGGCGGCGGCGAGCTTCACCGCGGCGCTTTGACAGGTTATGTTGACAGGGCGCGTGTAACCTTGGCCGTGCCTCGGGCGACCTCGATCGCTCGGGAATCTGGCTCGCGGTGTCGTCCTTCTTTCCCCCGTGTGTGTCGCGTTACGTAATTCGTCCGTCGGTTCGTCTCGCGAGAGCCGCGCAACAACGGCACAGCGACCGCGGGCACCGCGGGGGCCCGTTTTACGCGGCCGCATCTGTCATAACGTGCGCGATTCCGCTCACCGCGCCATATTGGCATCGAAGTGTTTTTCAACTGATAACTTCTCTTTTTCCGGGACACCCCGCGCACGCGGTGCCGCTTGTCGTTACGGGGGATCGTGAGAAAAGGGGGCCGTGGAAGCCTCGATACCCCTCCGGGCTTCGAGTCCGCGATAGGGCGTGCTCCGCACATGTAACGGACCGCGCTAATTTGGAGAAGGGTTTCGGAAACCAGTCGCTCGTTGGTTTGAGGATTAAAACTTCGATCTGTACGTATATGATTTTGTAAGACAAGCCGATCGCTATTTCCTTGTCCGTTGTAAACGTCACTAACGCTAGAAACATCTGTACGAGAAAGGAGCGCACATTTCGATAGCATAGATGGAATTACGTGCGTATAGAATTTTTGCTATTGAACCGATTGATTTTCAGCTGCAAGATGACAGAAAGTAGCGTGTCCAGAATGAAGGGGCGCAATGGGGCACGACTTTTCAAGAATCCACCGCAGCCGCACATGTGTATACAGGATTTCATACAGGTATTGTGTCATTGTGATAATAGTGTTACTGCAAGAATTGTTTATTACATAACTTGTAGGAATCAATGGCGTGGGTATTATATAAATGTCGATTCTCTTGGTACAGGGCACTACGGCTCCGTGTTATGTAAACGTACTGTCTTGGGACAAAATTGCAATGCCTCGCAGACCATCACTGCCTGTGCCACTTTACGGAGGTATGAGAGTGCCACCGCCTCGCACAAAGACGGAAGCCATAGTGTTTGCTGTAATGGCCAACCCCGAGGTCCTGCGAATGAGCGGCAAGAATGCTCAGGACGTAAAGGTAAATGAGACATTTTTTTTAAATCTGTAAAGTCTTTATTGATTAACAATAGCGCAAATAATTTTTGTCACATGTACCCTATTATTTTCTAACAGAAGCGTATGAGCTTTATCGAGTTACTATTAGACTTCATAGAAGCGATGAACGCAGGGGTAGTCTTCAATCGTAATTATACAATACTAAAAGATCGAGACATCACGGGCGAGCTGAAGGAGGTCTGGAACGCAGTGTTAGCCATACGCGACAATGAACAGCGTCCGCCGCAGCAGGAAACCTGGATCGACGTTCAACCTCCCATGTCGCAATTTCCTCAGTACCCGGAACAGCAACAGCAGCAGCAAGAGTACATACCACAGCCGCCGCAGTATCACTCGAGCGTCGCCTATGGTAGGACTATTAACAACGAAAATATGCACTATGAGAGCTACGGGCATCAGCCTCAAAGCTCGGCGATTTCCAAGAACGAGCCTATCTTTATATCCGGACACATCGTATCGCAGCAGTGCCACAACAACGTTCATCGAATCGCCCTCGATCAGTACAACTATCGCGAGCGCGGTAGAGACGGTCAAGTTGTGCAAAATGTTATTGCGGCACAGCATCAATTTCAACCGAGGCAAACGTGGCCGCAGTATGTGAATACTAAGTATATGCATCCGAACTCGAATCTACCATATGGACCGGCCGCAAATACCAACCCGGCCATTAATCCTTCGAATCAGTTTCAGCCATATCCTACTTACCAGCAACAACAACAGCAGCAGCCGACGCCACCACCGCCGCCGCCACATATAGACAATACGATGCATGTCGATATTCGTAGGATGCAACAACAACCACAGCAGTCACAAATACACTTTAATCATGTACAGTCGCCGTATGTTGAGCAATCTGGGTCATTCAGTGTACAAAGTAATGCGCATAGAGCAAGCAGACCGCATATGGGAGTAGCTCAGAAAAACAACGTTACTAAGAGACAGACAAATTCACCAACGCACACTTCTTGTACAAATTGCCAAAATAAGGAAGACCAATCTTTCACGAAGCCGAAGAGTCCCGTTAAAGTTCTTCAAAGGGAAGTGCCAATGGAGCGGCAAGATACAACTAATCATGCGGAGAGCAAAGCTCCAGTAGAAAAAGTAGAGGAACCGAAGATTGTCCCAGTGACAGATTTAGATGAGGATCTTAAGAAGAGTGATGAGCTCGTGGTTGAGTATGTATACCCGGAGAAAGAGGACGTCTGTAGTCCAGAACTTACGCGTACTGTCGACGAAATGCCGCCATGTGAAGAAAAGAATTCCGTAAAACTAGAATCCTGTAAAACATCTTTGATGGAGACGAAAGAAACGGAAGTGTCAGCTACGCAACAATTTACTGTTCAGAAGAATACCAATAAGTTTGTCAAAGGCAATGCGCAACCGCGAAGAGTAATAACCAAAGGTAATAAGCATAACTATTCGCAGCTTCCGAAGTGCTCACCGATGAACAGCGTTGAGTATGTGTACTCGGAGAAAGAAGATGTCTGTGGTTCAGAACATACGCGTACTGTCGAGGAAGCGCCGCCATGTGAAGAAAAGAATTCTGTAAAACTAGAATCTTGTAAAACATCTTCAATGGAAACGAAAGAAACGGAAGTGTCAGCCATGCAACAATTGACTGTTCAGAAGAATGCCAATAAGTTTGTCAAAGGTAATGCGCAACCGCGAAGAGTAATAACCAAAGTTAATAAGTATTCGGAACTTCCGAAATGCTCGCCGATGAACAGCATTATCAAAAGTGTTTTCAAGATTAATCCAGGTGCGTCCAGTGAGGAATCGTCGGGTAAGAAAAAGGCGAATGGCCAGGCAAGGCCAGCTAATGGCAAAGCGATGTGCGAGAACGAGGAACAGGTGCAACCGGGATACACGATACTGAAGAAGGAGGCTCAGGAGGAGATGGTGAGCGAGATCGCTCAATTATCCATTCAAGACTGCAAGGACGCGACCGAGGTCGCTCCCGTGCTCTCGTGATAGCCAGGCCTACAGCTGGTACTCAGCTGTGTCGGCGCGCGACCAAGGGCTTTGATGTAAATAGATAGAACTTTATTCAATAGAAAGAAGTCAGGAAGATATGAAAGACATCGCGAACAGATAGGAGGGGGGAGATATCGTTGATGATTAGAATTCATACCCGATTACTTCGAGTCCTGAACGGAATTGATATGTCTTTGAAACGGCTTTGATCGATTATCATCGCGCGGATACGTGACGAACATTATTTGTGATTTTATGACTGTCACAGTGTTCTTATAACGGTACTACGTGTGATATCAAAGATTTATCAACGTTAGTCTACTCATAGGAGTGTCGGGAAACTTATTCGTGATCGAAGCTGGGTACAATTTGAATTCATGTACAATTTGATTCTCATCAATTTTCATGCAATGGCCTTACTTATAACAGATTATTTTCTTGAATGTCGTTCGAATGTTTTTAGTAACAGTTTCAGTCGTTGTTATAATTTTCATATCTCTGTACTTGTAATTATGAAGTTATTGCTGAGTTCCGAAATGTCGAGCTTTTATTATAGTGGAATTTATTAAATTTTTCTTTATCTAGTTTAATTGATGAAATATGATAAATATAATTCTTTTTACTCTATATTTTGTAGAAAAATAAGCATTTTTTTAAATTAAAATATAATAATTCGTTAAATGTTTAAATTCTGATTTTGAACAAGTATATATAATATGGATATATATCTATATCCGCTCAGAAAATAAGTATAAATATAAATTTGTTGTTTGGTATTTTTACTGTACCCACTACGGCGACGAATGTGATCATTTGAGAACATGAGTTCACGCTTGCTAATCGAGATCCGTTTAGTTAGGCTGCGTTCCGATATTCACTGCCAGTATTGAAAATCTATAGTTTATGTTACATACGCTGTACGATTTTCAGTACTGTCACAATCTGCTTCCAATATCTTGCGGCAAATAAGGTCGGATAAACAGAGAAAGTGATATTATGATACTTTTAAGTATACGAGATTTCTGAACGCTGCCTCATTGTCTCTACGCACGAAAACGAATTGAAATACATTTTTGAATTGGACTAAGCGCTAAAGCTGGGTAAAACGCATATTTTCGAATATTGTTAAACATTGTGTGATCGCGCGATGCCTGGATGTTTCTAAACTACCGAGAATTCGTTGAAGCACTATTTAATGCAGTGCGATAGATGTACGCGAGATCGGTGATATTCAGGATCTTTGTTATTTGATGGATTATGCGATAATCCAGCGAGTCATTAATGACCATGAGATTTACTCCATAATTGAAATGTGTGAACTGTGTTTTGCCTAGCTCCATTAAGCATACAACGGTATTGTCTATATTTAAGAAGAAACGGTAGGTTTAAGCCGGAATAACATGTAATTATTGCAAGGCGAACGTTGCTGTAGATTTACAAAGAAAGAAGCATTTTATTATAGAATGTAAAACAGCTCATCTCGTACTTATCTATCTACAAAGCAATCGGAGAATTTCTACCAAAATTTTCCATAGAAAAACTTTGCATTATAAATACGGTAACAATCTAATTGCACTAAATCGCCAAACATTCCGCAACAAAATTTTAATAGGATTCTTCATATTATCGGCTATAAATTGTCAATTTAAAGTTTAATATAATTCAGCTTTAACGATGATTTCCGAAAAGAATATTGTATCGGAGCGACGTCGTCGTGTTTTCTCGCACGTGCGCGTCGTCAATAATGTGAATATCTGTATGATCTGATAATGTGCTCGAATAGATAATTACGATTTGTATTTCAACGAATGCGTAATTGTAGTATATTATGAAAAATGTGTTTTTTAGTTTTGAAATGTGCAAATGCCAAGAACGATTGGGAATTTGGAAGTAATAGAACAATAATTTTGCAGTTAAAAAATAATTGTTTAAAAATTTATCAGGCAAATATGTTTCTTGTGCGAAGTATATTAGTTAGATGGACGATGTTTGTCCAAATTGTTCCATTTCAAGAGAATGAAAACAAATTAAATAGGATTATTGCCGTATTTATAACACAAACGAAGCCTACAGCTTCTCTTTCTCAAAATGTACAGTCAGTGAGTCGTTTTCTTAATTTTATCGGTGTTCTGAATATCAAACCTTACAACGATTTGCATTTATATATTGTTTCAAATTTATATGTATTATATTATCGCAGAAGAGTTAAAAAATATATATGCATTTAACAAGGCAATATATATATTTTCATTTTCTACATAAAAATCTCAATATTTTGTTTAACTCGATGAATTAAACAACTGGAAAGAACTAGATGACGACTTACTGGCCACGTTCGTACAAAACCGTATCTCATGTCTCGACTGCGAGCGTCGATCATATTTCATCGTATTTCTTCAATGTCATTCATCACATGAGTTTTCGTTCGAACGATTGTCCTCCACGCGTTAAATACTCAGAGTCAATTTACAGGGGACAAATCTGCCATCACGAACTCGCCGTAATCTCGTAAGTAAACTGTGAAAACATATATAGTGCTACCACATAGTAATCGACCAGAGATAATTGCTTCTCGGTTGGGTGTACTCTGCCAGTTTTATCAGCCTAAGAAGAAAGATTTGCCCATGACATACAGCCTGATCGAGACTAATCGGTCAATTATCGCGCGCACAATTACTCAATTATTCTTCGATTAGTCGCGACCGGGTCGCGCACATTATTTTCTTATTTAATGCGGGGCGTCTAAACGCACATCGCGCACATCGGCGACCTTGTTCCTGAAAGCGCTGAACAAAAACTTAACAGTTTTAGCGAAACCTAATGTCTAAACGCGTTATGTAGTCACCGACGCTCTTAATGCTAACAAACGATTTTCTATAAGGATGAAAATAGTGTTTGGCCTCCGGTATAGACGATACGTTGTCATATTCTAACGGTTTTTAACAATCGCTGCCAGAATAAGATGAAGCGGCGGATAAAGCTGCCATTTTTAAATTGAAATAGTTGGAAAGAGTCGATTTTAATCGCGTAGCGTCGTGTATGCGTGTAATAATGAATAATTGGCTGTCTTAGACCGATCTCAACAAAGTCGGCTTTGTTAAAAATATATTTTTGTACTTTGTAATGTAGCTTTTTGGCTGAGAACGGAGCAATTTAGGAAACCGCGAAATTATCCCCCAAAACTAAGTATTATTTTTTTACGAACAAAAAAAGAAGAGTGTTGAAAAATTAATCGTTTCTGCGCTTAGAATTCGCTGTAGCTTCTTTTCATTTTTTTGTGATTGTAAATATTATAGACTGGAATTTCGCCTTTCTACTATTCCATATCTAAAAAAGAGATGTAATCTTTAACAAAAAGCAGATAAATTATATTCAAATTCTAAAAAATTTTTAAATTGCGTTCTTATTACAAAAACCTAAAAAACTATATTCTAAAAGTTATTTCTTAAAACGGAATAAAAGTAAAGGTAAGGTAGAAGCTTTGAATGTTAGCTGCAAGAATTGATGTAAGGATATCTGTAAATGTTCGGAAACGGCATTTTTATAGGAAGAAATATTCTTCTTCAGCCATTCGCCGTTCTTCTAAATATCCTGGGTATATCTACTGATAGTTTTAAGACTATTCGGACTACTACAGGGAGACTCTTTGCAACTATTTAAATTTGCGAACCGCACTTTTATCGTGATCCCCGTGTCGCATGCTTCGATATTTTAGAATATACTTGTGAGCTGTTCGAACTCGAAGAGAAAATCGTCTCCTCTCGAATTTTATTCCCGGACATTTCGTCACGTTTGTTCAGTGTATTCGAGGTGCTTCATTAGTATCATTAAGAGAGAGATCTCAGCTCGCGAGTAGTTACTTGTTTATATACAATCGTATGGAAAGGACCAATCCGCGGAGAAAGAGAAAAAGAGAGAGAGAGAGACAGTGCAATTGTAAACGCGAAAAAAAAAGAAGATAAATTAAATGTGCGCCGCTTAAAAAAAATGTGATGATGCAAAAATACATCTGTTATTTTTGAAAATCGCGACCTCACGATATATCGGCTGAATTCTCCTAGAAACAATGTAGGAATAAGGCTGTGTAACCACTGTTAGCGACATTATTTTGCGACCTGAGTCCCTTCTACGATGTAGACCAATTGTTATATTTAGTAATGCACTAAGCGCCATGGAAGCGACGACTCGGTTAAACCGCGTCGCGACATGCAGATCGATGTGTCGTTGCTCGCGTTGATTTTTTTACGTTTCGAAAATGAGATTGCGAATGGCACGGACTCGAGGGGGAAAACCGCGGACGATACAGCCTCACGAATAATTTATAAGACGCGAATGAGCTTTTTATTCCCTAGAATCAACAAGTGTGATGGACCTCACTGATTGTGAGACCCACGCAAATTACAGTTTGCTATAAATAGCAACTTGCCTTTCGCGAAACGCAGAGCTTCGTCAATGGGAGAAAGACGTTTTAAGCGAAGCGAAGGTGGTTCACCCTCGCATGTGAAATTATTACCGTAGCCGTACGATAATAATGATTTCTAATTACAAAAAATTCTGATCCTGTTAATATATTTATTTATCTACGAGTAAAGTATACAGTCCTGTATCGTTTTTTTCTTTTAATTTTTTTTTCTTTTAGTTTTCATTTGAATACGAGACATGGCGAATGGCGCTTAGTACGCGTTGGCGGACGTTTATTTATAAGTTTATTTAAGATGAATTAAATTTATGCATTTTGCAAAAAAATGCGGATCTTTAATAACGATACTGAAACATCGTGATTCTGAGTGCTTCTTTTAAGTCTTCGGAGAACAGCGTACTCGAACGCCGATGAGAATTTTGTCAGTTTTATGACTTTATCACGTTTCTCTTTTTTAATTGTAATTTGATAGCGGCTTGGCTCGTTTCTCTGCCGAAATTTCCTCGACGCCGCTCCTCCTCTCATTATTGTTAATAATATGTATTCAGTATTTGTGTTATTTTAGATTCTTATTGATTATTATTATTGTCCAGGTATATTGCAGTTTATTATATCATTATTACCACAAATATTGTAATCTATTATTCTATAATACATGGTTTTTCCAAAGTTTGCCTATCTATATCTCGCTTTATTATCCATTGAATAACCTTAGACATAATTAATCTCGTAAATTACAAAACTGTTTTCCATGTTCTTAAGACTTCCATGCTCTTTCGAAGATATCGAGAAAGATTGTTGTCTGTCATAATCTTTTCTCAGTATTGCATATTTTTACAATTAAATTATGTGTAACTAAAATTTTATTAGAATTTTATATTATTTATAATTTTATATTTTTATCTATCATTTTGATCCCAAATATTAAAAAGTGATAAGTACAAGTGTTGGCTATATGGATCAATGTACATGTATCAAATTAATTAGAAGCTCTTTGCCTATCTTTTTATTGTCAATAATTTTTTACCTTTTTTATGTATGGATACATTTTTTATTCTATATATAAAAAATCTATTATAATAAATTATAAAATATATAATAAATATATGTGCAATAGATATGAATTTGTAGACTACTTACGTCCATATTACAGATTATTGTAAACTTTTTTCAGCAAAAGTATTTTTGATAAAAAAAAAGATTCTTCTTTAAGGGAGAATATATAGTCAAAGGCGCCAAAAAGAGAGATTTTCTCGAATTTTTTTTACGTAAACGTATTAACTTTTTTATTTAGAAACTTTTACAAATTAAAAATTGATATGTTTATATGTTTGACGAACTTTTTGTTTTTTTTTTTAGTAGAAAATAATAGTTATTATAATTTTGGCGAATATTTTAATACAACTCCTAAAAAAAAGTAGCATTCCGGTGGACATCATATCTCGAGACAGGATTATCTAAAATAAAAAAATCCAGAAGATTTCGTTAGTAGATGACTTTATCTTCCGTGTGAACGAAGGATTTCGAAAAAATTAAATTTTGAATTTTTTAACTGAAGTTCGAGTCACGATTTTTACTAAAAAAATTGACCATTTCATTTTTGTAAAACAAGTTCTAATTGTTGAAAAAAAAATCCTTTGTCCACACGGAAGCTTAATATGTATAAAAGAAGTGTGTAAAATTTCAAAAAGATCGGTGCAGTACATTTTGAGATATCGTGTCCACCGACTTCAGTATGAATAAAAGCCAAAATTATTCGCCAAAATTATAATAACTATTATTTTCTACTAAAAAAAATACAAACAGTTCGTCAAACATATACATTAATATCATGTAAAAGTTTCTGAATAAAAAAAGTTAATACGTTTACGTAAAAAAAATTCGAGAAAATCTCTCTTTTTTGCGCCTCTGACTGTATATTCCTCCTTAAAGGAGAATCTTTTCCCCCTTAATAGCCTTGTCTTTCTAATTTTTTCAAAAATTTTAGATATGTAAGGTGACGTAACGCTAGTAAAACGAAGAAAGAGAGCAAATGAGAAAATCCTGAGGAGTTTCTTTAATTCTTTGGAGAAAGACATTTAATTATAAGTGTAGAAAATCGAAGCTGATTTTGTAATAACATAAAACGTACGATCGTTGGAATTGGACTGGAATACATTAGACAAACAATGAACGTAAAAGCAAGAAGAGTGAAGAGTACTTAAATTTGAACAAAAAATTAGGAAATTTAATTAACAAAATATTTAAGAAATGCTTAAGTGAAAGAAAAAAGAATAGAGAGAGAATATTTAAATGGGAGTCAGCGAGATAAATATTATATATTACCGTAAGAATCGAAAATGAAGAGATCAAGAGAAGAAGCTGTTGAGATCAAGTAGAGAGATATAGAGATTGTGGTTGGAAAAGCAAATACATTTTAACTATAGATATCAATTTAACAGTAAGATACAGATATGAAAAAAATATAAGAATCTGTATATATAATAAAGATTCTCGAATATTAAAAAAAATACAGACAGAAATGTAATCAGACAATTATCGCGAGATGAAAGGTTACAGCTTTAGCGACGTCGGATATTCTTATTTTAATAAAACTGCTATACGTACATAAATATAGATAAATTAAAAAAATTATCAGTTAAAGTAAAAAACGGTTTTAAACGTAAAATCACTTCTTATATGTAAAACGATTTTTGGCTTCTTTCAGTATATCTAAAAAATTCTTCGAGAGATCAAAAATGTTCTATATACCACAGGTGTGTTTCAGGGTTAAATGTCCTAACTTAAAATATGAACTTAGGACCTCAAAACAAGAAAAAATTTTCCTCTGGAGATATGCCCGTAAACGCTTTGTTTAAGAGATATTGACATCTAAACATTTTTATTATAAAATTTTATGAATTTGTTTTTAGGCTATAATAAATAATTTAATAGTGTGTTTTAACTACTTTATTACTAAAAAATAAGAAAATTTTTACACAATTATAAATTTTGTTCAAAGTGACAGCCTCTCTCTCTTGAAAACTGCAATGAGTACCTGTTATTGTTTCACATGCTTGAATAATTCTTCGTTGTAAAGAATTTATGTCAGAACTTGTTGGCCTGCGCGCTCTTCAGATTTGATGTTGTTGGATTTTTTATTTAGGATGTTATTAAACAAAAAGTCTACGAAAGGCCAGTTAATGACGTTAATTCTTTACAACAAAGAATTATTCAAGCATGTGAAGCAATAACAGGTACTCAGTGCCGCTCTGCCATTGCTGCCGAGATAGGCTGCGTTCGGGGAACGCGCTATTAGCGCTATTTGCTTATTCTATCCTTGTTTTATACCTGATGAGCGATAAAGATAGAATGATGTAATAGCGCTAATAGCGCGCTCCCCGAACGTAGCCATAGAAAGATGCCAAACCTGTCTCAATGTTCAAGGCCGTCACTTTTAACACAAATTCTGTTTAATTACACCAATCAATAGCATTAAAAAATTTACGTTCCTTCGTGCTCTTTATATGAAAAAATTTATTGCGTTGTAAAATGCAATGATGCAATAACTACTGGCGGAAATTCGCTGGATGAAAAAAATTGTCATAAAAAAGGAAAGAAAAGAGAACTAAAAGAAATTAAGGAATATTAGAATAAGGGAGGAAGAAGGTAGGGCTATCCTAAAATAGCAATATGTTGTAATAGTAATGGAAAATATATAAATTATATATGATATTCAAGACTTGTATATTTGAAATAATTTCTGCAAACTTTCACAAAATCGAAACGCATAAAACAAGTATTTATCTGTTAAGGTATGTAGATGATGCACGAGAGCGGATAACAATTTAAATCAAAATAATATACAGCTCTACTAATGCTTTCACTATTATGTATATCGTGACAAATCATTTTGGCGCTTCGAATCATGTCGTAGAAAAAGATTCCGTGTGAGAAGAGCGAAACAGAGGGAGGACTTTCCCTTTCCTGTCTATGCCAAACGAGGCGTGCAATGGACTCTCACTCGCTAAGACGCACCGTACATTCTCACGAAGCAAAGTCAGTTTTGTCGACCACCTGCCACTGTCGCCGCTGATCAATTTGAAACAGTGACGCGTTCTTTTCCGGTGACAAATGGTGATTTGCGAGAGCGTCGTTAGTGCGGCGGTGAACGCAAAGTGCAATGATTCGATCGCGTCATCCCTTCGAGGAATTGAAAGCGACGAAAATGTCGCGGAATTAACAACTCGCGAGTGAATCTGCGCGACTGTTACATCTGATTTCCGATTGACGATCAAAAACATCTTCCGTTTCTCGATGATAGTGAAAGCGACGTGATATCACGCGTCGCTCTTACCTTGCGCATTCGAAAATAGAGATTTGGACATGCGTTTATGTAACGTGAAACAAATAATGTTGCATTTGCACGTCGCGTTATAGTGAATGTGTTAAAATAAATGATTAGAAAGGAGGCGTTGAAGCCTTAATGCTCGGAGCTGCTCGTTTTAACTTATACTTCGTAAGGCACATTATCTATGAAATATTTAATTGTAACTTTCAGACATCTGCAAATTAAATTCACGTCGAAAATAAATTTTTTTTATTGTACAATTTAAAATAATAATAAATAAATAAGTAAGCGCTAGTAAAACAAGTATGAAGTCAAAGGGTCAAATAAAAGGGTCAAATAAAAGATGTTACAGTTAAATATAGCTATAGTTTATTGTCCAATGGTAGGCAATGTAAACGTTCTGACTATACTTAGCCCAAGGAGAACACATAAGTCAATGCATGTGTGGGAGTATATATATATATATATATATATATATGTACTATAATATAACACTAGAGTCCCTCGTAATCAGAATCTGGTCATACGGTAGCAACTTTTGATTGGTTCGCCATTTCTTAGCAAAAGCAAGAGAACAGAAAGAGAAAGAGATAGAAAAGAGACAAAGAAAAAGATAGAAAAAAAGAGAAAACGATAGTGAATGTATATCCTTCTTTCTTGTAGAATTTTGTCAGAACCGCAAGTTGGCCATGCAGACTCTGATTAAAAGGACTCTAATATAACACTATATAATTTGTTGATATATGTATAATAAGGTAAATGCCGGGACACTTAAAACCTACGTCTGGACACCTTTATTACTTTAGTTTTTAAATAAATATAATGCGAATTAAAATCAAAGATAAAAATATAATACAAAAAAAATATTCTTATCTTTGATTCTTTGATTTTAATTCGCGTTATAACTTATTTAAGAACTAAAATGATAAAAATATCCAAACATAGGTACGTGTCCAGGCACATTGGTACATTTATTACCTTAGTATATATACTATAATTTTCAACTTATATATTATATAATAATTTCAATCAAGTGCCAGGCAATATCCTCGCAGAAATTAAAAAAACCTGTTTATATAGATGCTTCCAGATAGTCACCGTACAGTCATTTTGGAGTCATAATAGTTCAGTGATCAACCTCTGACTTTTTCCCGTTATTTTTACATCACAATGACATTACCTTGACTTTTTGTTCTCCTTGGATAGTCTTCATTAGCACAATTAAATAAATTAAAAAATGAGCGAATTAAGATATTAATTACATGCGACAGAGTTATATAATTAATCGAGTTAACATAATTAAGATATAAATAGAAATATTATTAAATAATTGTAGCACGAATCGCAAATCACATAAGAGGTAATGGCAACAGTCAGTAACATTGCCAAGGATATAGAAAATTTTTAACGTCAAAACTAAAATTTACGTCCATTATTAAAAAGGTATCACAAACTTATTCGTCGTTCGGTGGCGAGAATATGTCATCCCATGATTCTAACAGAGGTTGTCTTGTTATAGTTAAAATTTGTAGTTCAATTGTGTACCCCTGTGTAAAAGTTTAAAGGTTAATGGTAAAAAAAATTTAATAAAACGTAAATATTATCACGTTTGCATAATTAAAAAGAATATAAAGCTGCGTTCAGACTTGTATCGTATCACCGTATTATATCATGATATTTTCTTATCAAAATACGGATATGTTGGTTATAATAATATGCTAAAGCCTTGTTTTTAATCCGTATTCGTGTCCTGCATTTTACAGATTAAAAAAAGGTATATCATTATAGTAACCACCCATATAGAAATTTCCCAAACATTTCCAAGTATAGCTAAGATCTGATCAATAATATAATATTTGTTACATATTTCTTATACTTAAATAATTACATACAGTTTTATATTTAAAGCAAAAATATAATATACTGTATATATTGTTTTATTCGAGACATTATTTGCAACTTAATTTCAAAAAGAAATTGAGTAAAATAATTAAAACAGCTTGAGCATTTACGCTCTTTTTAAGAATTTATATATATAAATTTATAAATATAAAGCATTTTATATTTATAGTGGAATAAATAACTCAGTTCGCCAGTACGTAGATAAAAATTAATTCAAGATTACGCGACCCAACTGGCCAATTCCTATTTAATTTAACTCACGATATTTTTCATCAAGAAATACAGATGCACTGTCAACCTCCAGAAAGATACGGAGAGTTTATCCGCGATACGATCGAGTTATCGAGGCTGTATAACATATAGTTCGGTAAAAATTTAGTAAAAGTTGAAACTTTGAGGCTCAGTATCTCGATTTTTATACCGCAAAAGGTACTGAAATTTATACCACGCATAAAGCACACCTAAATTAACGTATATTCACAGTTTCAAGAAAATCTATAGAATTTCGATTTTCTCTAGTATAAGGACCGGTGAACTTCCTTAAGAGAATAGGGCTAGCGAAAGCTGGGTATATGTATATGAGCTTACAATATTTATTATAACAAATTTATTATAACAAATATTGTAAGCACGTGTATCTAGTTCTGTTCGCTAACCCGAGCTTCTTATATTGTTTTTAATAAAACATCTAGAAGAACAGATACAAAAACATCAACAAGAAATGATTTATAATCGCAGATTGTCTGCGTCATTATAAATGACTTTTTATTATTGTAATAATGACAGACTCACTACTATTAATAAATCTGTCAAACATTTTACATCACTTTTTTGAGGTAGGCTTTCGACTTTCCATACTTGTTTTAAAAATATATAGATTGCGATCACACAAAGTGTAATCTTTGGGATCAAAGACTATTAAAGACTAGCGATAATTATTTAGAAAATTAGAGAGAGAGAAAGAGAGAGAGAGAGAGAGAGAGATTTTAATAAAAGAGGAATTTCAACACGTCTGCTTTTGGAATAATGAGGAGAACATTTCTTCGACGTTACAAGTCTATTCCCCACGAAAAGTATCATGGGTTGGAAGGGAAGAGGAAAGGTGGAAGGGGCTCCTTTCTCCAGAAGATGTGCAAAACGAGTTCCTGTAGCAAGTCTTGTAGGTGCGTTCAGTACGGTTAAGACTTTCGCGGTACATGTCTCGCGATAGTGCAGGATCACGCTCTAAATATTGTCCTGACTAGTTTTGCTCGTTTGTGCCATCACTTATACCTTGAATCATATCACTTGCACTTATAGGTGGACTATTTACAACGCTGTCTTCTGATGTTAAAATAAAGCGACTTGTAAGATGATTCAAAGTTTCCCGGATAATGCTGCTATGGCAGGTCAGTTATTCTGCACGAAAGAGATATGGGTTTTTTCATTCAGTTGCATGTATAAATAAATAAGTTACTCAGATCTGTTTAAATTTACTTTTACGAATTTATATAATATCATGTACCATAAACAAATTTAGTTTTGACTCAATTCTTTTACCGCTCTGTGATGTGCTTTTATATTTAATTGATTGATATTATTACATTGAATTAATTTATATTTATTTAAATTATATAATATTATTATTTACATAATATTATTTTCACTTTATTTATATTTATTTAAATTATAGACCTTAATGTTAATAAGCTTTATCTTCGAATATCTTGGAAACTACTTTCTTTTAATTAGAAATGGAACTTTCTTTATTAAAATTGTAATTTGAGATATTTTATATACGTACTAAAATAATATTAAGTATTTGCAACACTAAAAAATTGAAATAATATATCATACTAAACAAATTTTGATTATATGTTTAAATATATTTACATAAGACAAATATTGGAAATATTACATACATATATTGGAATGTTACAAGAAATGCAAAATATATGTAAGTATAGATGCAAACAAAAAATTGTAAAGTATGTATATGCGCTAACTAAGCAGGAGTATCTCTTCAAGGTTACACTTAGTGAACCATGCAAGAATTTCACAATGAAGAAACTATGTAGTTTACATAAGGCTTCCATATATCGAGATGGGAAGTATTATATAATATTCTCGAAACATATACTAAAATCTATGTATCGAGGATATTAGGTGTGACACAATGTTGTATGTGGCAATAATGTTATTTAGTGAAAGTTTCTTTTCGACAGAAAAAGTTTGTCGAAACGTTAATAAAGTTGCTAAAAAAATTCACTGGTGCAGAGTTCGTATTATATTAACTGCAGAGGTAATAAGAAATATTATATTGGTTTCTTATGATTAATTAAATGACATAATCGGAGGACTTACAAAAAAATGCATATGTATAGTTTGATTTAGTATAGTTATTTTAGATTTTCCACGTATAATAATAATAACTTTATTGAAGTGCCGAAGATAAGAAATTTTTTACATGCAGATAAAGTGTTTTAGATAAATATAAAAATAAAGATAAAGATAAAGATAAAGATTTTTGACACAATTAATATAAATTAAAAATAATAATAGTATCAATGATAATAAATAAAGCATGTGTACAGACATAAAAATATGGATAAATAGTGTAAAAAGAGGTTTATAGTTAGTTTTGATTCCCCGAGGAGAGATTACAAAAACTTCCATTTGTATACGTTTGATTTCATATATGTATGTACATACGAGTACACAAGCAACATGCACATGAAGTATCATAGATATCCATTTTTGCTTTTTCAATCTTCTCATCCAAGAGTTATCCTCTTGTCCTTCTCTTAATAGATACCACCTTCTCTTTAGTTGTCATGCCATAATCTGTCCACTCGTTACACTCCTCCAATATGTGCTTCCACGTCTTCAACCCTCCTATCACATAGTTTGCATTTCGTTTTTCTTCCTTTTTCTAATATATCGACTCCTTGACTCCATTCCCTAATTTGAACCTTTGCTATCCTTGCCCATCTTTTCTCCTTTCACCCTTTCATCACATATTTTGGTAACTCCGTTGTCCATATCTCTTTGTAGCATTTGTTGTATTTAAAAGAAGATTATAAATATAATCAATATGTATAAGTAAAAAATAATAATAATGATAATGATAAAGTATATGTGCAAATACAAAATTTCACATAAATAGTATAGAAAATAATAATAATAAATCTACTTAACAATTAATTAAAGCACAGACAGTAAACAGTGGTTTAACAAAGTTTCTTTCCGTTATCATCCAGTTAATAAGAAAAGCGAAAATATGTCTAATAGAATTGTGAATGTTGTGACCTCGACTTATGTTGGCTGGTAGTTCTTGCTGCAGTTTTTGCTGCATTACACAACTCGCGCTTGAAGAAATCGCTGCACTAAAGTGCAAACTACATAATAGTAACTACATATAGTTCGCACTTAAACATCAATTCTTTTAAGTAATAAATTTCATATTCTTTTTAAAACTTTACAACCAAATCAATTAATAAGCTCTAGTAATTAGATTTACAAAAGTCAGCGTGATTTATAATTGAAGCTTATTATTAATGATAAGAAATTATTTCGAATTTATAAGATATACATTCAATGAATAATGTTGTATATAAAGCTTATATTATATAATTCTATGTTTCAAGGAAAGATAAAAATAATTTTGGTTTAAAAATATATATATAAATAATTAATACTATATATGTCTCGTAAATCTTACCAAACTTTCTATAAAAAACGTTATGCAAATTTAACAAAAACAAGGATCTAGGCGCCCTAAAATAAAACCAGTCGCTTCTTTACGTCAAATAATCACGAAAATCGAGGTCTATTTATTATTGTATTTCTAAATCTAAAACGGTCAATAATTTCGGGGTTTTTTTACCAGTATTCCTAAAGTGTCCTTCGACTATACATCCGTTTTTCATCACTTTCTTAAGATTCGTTCTTGTTGAAGTAGTCAAGTAATTTAAATCAAATTAATTATATGAAAAGTCTAATATATAGAGTGAACTAGTAAAATATTAAAATAACATTAGAACAACGTGTTGCTAGTCCCTTGTTGCTCGTCCCTTTCCTTCGCGAGCCGTCGTGTGGTGTGGACGTGTGTGGACTAGAGCGGACATGTGCAAATATATATTATGAATAGATATAATAAAACGTTGTGATAAACACGGAATGAAGGAAGTTCCAGGTTTGAACCCTGGCTGAGATAATATTTTTCACAATGATTTCTTTACAGTTATTTAGATGTTTGTAGCATCTAAAATTAAGTCGAATCGATTTAATTAGGTGTAGGGGGGGAGGAATTTTTACTATTCCAACCGGAGCTGTGTTTCTATAGTCGGCGCGAAGTCAAGGTTGGAAGATATGTAAAATAGAGATAAAAATAAAACTATCGCGCATTATTTACCGCGCCTGGTTCTTAACCTTTAGGGGCCTGTGTACATAATTATATACATTAAAAAAAAAAACTAAAAAAAAAACTCATCAGGGACGTCTTTTAAGACTATCTTATAAATTATAACATTTTACTCCAACAGGATCGATGTGTGGCCCCTGAAGGGTTAATTAGACCGTTTTCTATATTTGTTCGGATTTCCATTAAAACCTATACTTCGAATTTTATATATGTTATGTTTTCATTATTTGAAGCTTACAATCAAAATTATTATTTTTAATCAGACTTTCTCTCACTTAGATTATTATTTATTGCAACAACTAATCAGTTTAATAAGACTTATAACACAGATAACTATAGAAAAAAACAAAATGGTTTATTGTAGACCATATAACATTTTTAATGATAATCTTCAAAAAATACGGTAAAATAATGCAATAGAAGAAAGTTGCTTATACAGAATTATATGAAGTATATAAATATACACACAAAATTATAGAATAATGAAAAAATAAGTTACTCAGATCTGTTTAAATTTACTTTTACGAATTTATATAATATCATGTACCATAAACAAATTTAGTTTTGACTCAATTCTTTTACCGTTCTGTGATTTGCTTTTATATTTAATTGATTGATATATTATTACATTTAATTAATTTATATTTATTTAAATTATATAATATTATTATTTACATAATATTATTTATATTTTATTTATATTTATTTAAATTATAGACCTTAATTTTAATAAGCTTTTATCTTCGAATATCTTGGAAACTACTTTCTTTTAATTAGAAATGGAACTTTCTTTATCAAAATTGTAATTTGAGATATTTTATATACATACTAAAATAATATTAAGTATTTGCAACATTAAAAAATTTAAATAACATATCATACTAAACAAATGTTAACTATATGTTTAAATATATTTACATAAGACAAATATTGGAAATATTACCTACATACATATATTAGAAAGTTATAAGAAATGCAAAATATATCTAAGTAAATATAATTAAATTAAAGACCGATGCAAACAAAAAAATTGTAAAGTATGTATATGCGCCAAACAGCAGTACCTCTTCAAGGTTACAACACTTAGTGAACCATGCAAGAATTTCACAATGAAGAAACTATGTAGTTTACATAAGGCTTCCATATATCGAGATGGGAAGTATTATATAATATTCTCGAAACATATACTAAAATCTATGTATCGAGGATATTAGGTGTGACACAATGTTGTATGTGGTAATAATGTTACTTAGTGAAAGTTTTTTTTCGACAGAAAAAGTTTGTCGAAACGTTAACAAGTTGCTAAAAAAATTTACTGGTGCAGAGTTCGCATTTTATTAACTGCAGAGGTAATAAGAAATATTATATTGCTTTCTTTTAATTTGTGATTAATTAAATGACATAATCGGAGGACATATATACAACATTTTTTATGATAATCTTCAAAAAATACGGTAAAATAATGCAATAAAAGAAAGTTGCTTATATATATACAGAATTATATAAAGCCAAATATACACACAAAATTATAGAATGATGAAAAAAATAATAGATATAACAACAAAAACATGAAAAATACGTAAAAGTTACGAAAAAAATCACAAAATGTGGTTTCAAACGACTGTCCTTCACGCGATTTGCCGGCCGATTGGGGAGCCGAAGAGAGAGGTTCAAATGAGAGTCGTTGCATGATAACAAGCACAATCTAGCAACACTATATTTATGAAATATTGCAATGGTTCATAGTGTACAACTGGTTCATTGACGGACTATCTACTCTATATATATATATTGGTTCGTGCATGCACAGAAAGCGTTTACTACTTCTGACGCCATATCCCACACAGCACAGGATATTTTGAGGGACATTTGTGCATCCGCTGGATATTCACCGGATATTAAATATCCACTGGATATTCACCGGTTATTGAGATCTCCCACTTTATCTGTAGGACGTCCCTCAGATAAAGTGTGCTGTGTGGGATTGGTTTTCTGGCATTATTTGGGGAATGCTTGCCGAGCCGAAGTGTCCAGACCTGTTTATAAGACCGTGTATAGCTCTCGCAGTAAAAAAAATGTTAATTGTTCATATTTTACGACTTTTTTTTTATGTGTATATACATTTAAAGTCAGTTTTTCATTAAAAATAAGCGATGTTCTGTCGCTTTTTTAAATTAAAATTACGATAAAATCTATTTATAATAATTTATTAATTCTATGGAATTTCTGTTTACATTTTTTTATATGATGTCTACTGTTAATAAAAAATTAATATTTTTAGAAATTACAAGCGTACTAAAAAATAAAGCAAACACACCGATGGTCATCTTCTCATACATATACCGAGTGAGGAAAAAATCTGGCACCGGTGAAATATCTCGAAAACAAGACATTTTAGGAAAAAATGTTTTATACATAAGTTGTAGCCTTCAACAAATGTATCAAACGGTGGTACTTACTTGACCTTGAGCGCTTTTCTTCACTCGGTATATGTATATGAGAATAATATTGATGTCGGATATTTCTTTAATCGTTGATATAAAACACAATTCTGTAATTATAATTATATAATAAATCTGTAATTATAATTACGTAGGACATATGTTATGTCGAATTTTTAAAACTCATGAAATTTCCCGGATTCCGTCCACGTGTACGCGCAGATGTTAACGTTGATTTCGACATTTCTACATGCGGAACATGTACAATCGGTCCGTGCGTTCACCCGCACGAGTATGAGCTAATTAATTTTTTTACCCGACCAATAGATACGCTCACTCATGCTATTTTCAATTGCTATATACAGATATCTGTATTTATCTGTAATTATAATTACGTAGGACATATATTATGTCGAACTTTTAAACTCATGAAATTTCCCGGATTCCGTCCACGTGCACGCGCAGATGTTAACGTTGATTTCGAGATTTCTACATGCGGAACATGTACAATCGATCCGTGCGATCACCCGCACGACGTCATTACATATGTCCTCTTGTTCTGCCGAACGTGTCTTCGGAAATTCCAAATTGTGCCGCACAATGGGTGATTTGAGCAAGAATCCCTTTTGGAGCAACCACCTTGATCAAATATACAGTTGACGATAAGAAGAGAAGAATTTAAAGTAACAAAATATTATTTTAATCTTTCAAAGAAATATTTTTTAAAAACATTTTTTTTAATAATATATTATTTAAGAGAAAGTAAAAATTCTGAATGAATAAATAATAATAATACTTATAATTTGTATGCACAAAGGAGAAAGCATATTAAATTCAAAGAATAAGTTAAAGACATAACACATAAAATAAAACATCTAAGTTTATCAGATAAAAATATTCCACGCTTTATTATACCGCATAAATAAAATTTATTCTAAAATTTAACGATTTTGCTAAATTGCTTGCAATTTGATAAAAAAATTCGAATTTTTAGATGCGGTGGAAGAACGGCTGCGAATTATTCTCACTGAAGGACCTAAAAGTGTAATGGACTTCGAGGATATGAAACCAGAATTACCACCGTTTTACGACGAGAAGAAATTTCAGTTGGGACAGCAAACGTTCTACAATAATGTTTTCTCCATGATGATCGCGAAACTTTGCGGCCTTGTATCCCTCTTAGCCATTTCGACTATATTGGATGTAGTTATGTTTACCAAAAAGAGCAGTACTCCTTGTTTGGCGTATCGCAGATATGCGGAGACGATTCTTCATACAGTCGTATGGCATGAAAAGGATCCCAACGGCAAAACCAATGAGTAAGATTCGAGTAAAAAAAAAGTGTTTTTATTTAAATTATATTTAAAAAATGTTGCGAAAGGATCAATATCGAAAATCTTTAAAAATACAAATATTAAAAATATTTAATTATCTAATATGTGGAATATATATGACAGTTATAAATTAACCACACAAAATAGATAAAAATGATGAATATGTGATACTTGGGAATACACGGTAAATTTATAAAAATGTAAATTGACCGTCAAAAGATTATTTTATTAAATAAAAAAATGTCGATAATAAATAATAAGTACTAAAAGTTGTCAGAAAGTTATATACATACATTTTAAAAAATTTGAAATTATATAAATAAAAACTTAAAAGATATATTTTCTGAGCTATGAAGATATGTTTTCTGAATTATGTAAATGTAAATATATAATAAACTGAATATAGAAGAATTGTATATTCGATCTTACAGATTTTATTATGAAAGTCCAGGTTTATGTATTTGTATTTATTAAATAACGTCAATTCTTTTATGAAGTAATTATACGATTCAAGAAAAGCAAATTTTCAAGTGTGAACCGATTTTAACTGACATGATATTACAGTAGACTCGAATTTAGCGTGAAAAAGGATAGGAATAAATTTGTACAATTTTATATTTAAGTGCATGATCATTGTCAGCATCTGAACAAGTAAATTGAATAAATTATAAACTATTGCGTTAAATAATTATCAATATTAATTTATATAATATATATATAGATACTATATACATATATAATTATTGTAGATTCTTGGAATCTCTAAAAATCGTACGTCGAAAACACTGTATTGCGTTCAAAAAAAGCACCGAGGCTGGTGTTCATAAGCCAACGCAATTGGACATGGCACTCGCCCAGTTCGGATTCATCGGATACAGTTTGGTGAGCAAGGAATATCTGGGAATAAATGCCACCCCCGAGGAAATGGAAGGTGTAGTGCATCTCTGGCGGGTCGTCGGCAGCATGCTTGGAATGGACGACAAGTTTGTACTCCTACATCTTTTATTACATATATACAATAAAGTAACAAAAAATGTAAGCACAATGACAGATCGTCATCAAATATTTTAATAAAATAGTTTATCGGAGATTTTTTAATTGGTAAAATATCCACTCAAATGCATGCATCTGTTTCTCTCTAGATTCAATCTTTGCTCGGGAACTGTCGAAGAATCCCGCGTTCTTTGCCAAAGATTGTTGGAAGATGTTTTCGTTCCTTCCCTGGCAAACAGGAACGAGCATTTCAATCATATGGGCACTGTGATGCTGGAGAGCCTCTGGCCCATAAACTTTAATATCGAGCCGCTAGCGTTCACTGCCTTTACACTTCACTTGGCTTCTTCTACTGCGCGTAACAATAATCATTCCATTGAAATAGGTAATTAATAAGAGTTTTAAGCTTCACGAAGCTATAGAATTAAAAAAAAAAAAAACAATATATAACTAGCGAAAGTGACAATTTCTTAGAAAGAGTATCTTTGTAATTAGTATTAGTTCAAGTAAAGTAAATATTAATGTTGAATATAAATGCCTATACATGTATATACAATATATTCATGTATGTATTATTTACATACGATAAATAATATATAATAATATGTAATTTAAGACAATAATATATTTAATACAATAAATAATATACAATAATATATTTTTAGATTACTCGAAGTTGCCGTTCTACAGTTGGTACTTGTTCAATTTGCAACATTTTGTGCTGAAGTACTTGATGCGACCTAGTGCCTGGTGGTCCTCATTCTTCCGTGCGTTTTTTAATGGCTTAATGCGATACTCGATATACTTGCTAAAAAATGTTTCCTATCTTGCTTATTGGAAATTTGGGAAGAAGTATGCAAGGATCAAAATATTTCATCATCACTTTGATTGAGAGTTTAATCGAAGTAACAAAAGATACCGGCATTATAAAAAATTACATTAAATTGAGTACCAATGAAAGAAAAGGCTTTATAGGCGCAATTATGCAATTTTATTACCGCATATCTGTATAATTATAATTTTATCTAATTTGAAAAGCAGTAAATGTTCCTACAAAAAAAATAAAAGAAGACAAATTATTTATGCAGGATTCTTAGAAAAAATAAATAATATTTTGTTCTATAAAATATGCATAGATGTAACGCTCTTCAATATACGTATGCAGATTGTCTCACAACTACCATATAATGATTTAATAGAGTATTCTAAAAATAAAATAAAAAATTCTAATTTATACGAAAAATTGAGGTCACAAAATTTTTTAAATTATGACCAATCAAAGATAACCAGTAGTATCGCGTAGAACTTCGCGTTCAGATTTGTAGTTACACATACATGCGCTTCGGTCTGTAATTTATTGTAGATTTTCACAGTTAATATCAATTTTTACAGCACAGCTGATTATTAGTGATATTAAGTATTATTATCATTATTATTATTATTATTATTATTATTATTATTATTATTATTATTAT